CCCCATTTCAAACCCCCACACGCACTGCACCAACCGCTAGAGCTCAAATAACTGCTCTTTCAGTTTGTTTTCATAGCAATATTAAAGGACAAAGTCCTTTGTCCGGCTTCGAACACGGGTGGACGTACTGTTCGTTGATTTTTTTCTCGCATTACTGTTAGTTCATGTGCAAAAAAAGGCATAAATAAATAGTATAGCGGACAGAGAAAGAAAAAAATACAAAATTATGATTATCATAATTTTTGTTACGTGAGTTTTCATGTGGAAAAGATGAAACATCATCGTCTCCGGCATCTTTCTGTGGCTTTTGTTGTTTGGCGTTTGCTTTGCATGCCGCCACCACACTCTGCTCCGCCAACAGCGCAGCTCAATGTATGCGGAGTCACCGCCTGTGACTGCTTTGCTGTATCGTGTTTGTTCTTGTAATCGTCATCACCGTAATCACAGTTTTGAGAAACTCCTGATTTTACCTCTGTTTATTGGCGCCCGACAGTCCGGCGCCAGGTTTCCCTTTCCTCTCATTTCACGGTACTCCTCTTTGTGTTGCCTCGTCCTGTAGAAAGACCTGTTTGGCTTTTCCTTTGTGCACTGCTGTTTTTTCTTGCTGCCACTCATCGCTTTAACCGTTTGTTGTTGTGAAATCAACGTGTGCTTTGGCGTGTAAGCTTTTTAGCTCCTGTTGCCTGAGATATCGAGGTAAATAATGAGTGGAAAGTGATGAGCGTTGGTTGAGTGGAAAGGCCTGTAAAGTAAAGCTGGATTGCTTGTAATCTATTAAAAGTTTTTCTATTCAAAGTGAATTGCACATATTTTGAGTGGATCGTTTATAAATTAAATAGAAGGTGGTATTCTATGTAAGAGGCAGCAATGAAGAGAGGTTAAGAGCGGGAAAGTTTCAGCAGTTGAACTTTTGAAGAATATTGATAAGAAAGTGTAGACAATTACTTTTTGAACGGAGGAAAGTCAGTAAAGAAAAAGAAGATTTACTGTTTCGGTTGAGATTTCCAGGAAGTACCTCATCTGGTAGAAGCAAGAATTTTTTTATATACGCTTTGCAACCGCCGAAGAGATTTTCGGCTGGGCTTATGCTCCTATTTGGGGCGTACGCCTTGCTGGTTCTCTAATAAAAAGAGACACCGACAGTTGACCTGAACGGTTGATGAATATTCATTGAGAGCATTTAGTTTTTGTCAGGAATACACTCGGTTGGTCAGAAGATTTCTGCCGCGGGCAAACCAGCGCTGCACAAAGGAACTTTCGTATGTACGGCTCTGCTGGCATAGTTATTGCCATCTGCTGATATTTGTACGACCTTTCTTCTCTTCACTGCTTTTGATATAGAAGCTGCAGTGATGCTTGTTATAGCCAAAAATTTAAGTAGTTGAGCAGCGTCTGAGATATTCTCCAGCGATTCTTTTAGAATTATGATAGGTGTTGTTAAGGCTAAAGTTTTCGTCCATATAGATAATGGATATAGGATATTCCAGTTTAGTTAACCTTTCTCGTTTGGTTGGGCTTCTAGATAAAAAAAGAATTTAATATCTTTCCCTCTCTCTATCGCTTTCCCTCCCTCTCTCTCTCTCGCTCGCTCTCTCTCCCCCACTCTTTTTCTCGCGCTCTCTCTCTTTTTTCTTTCTCTCTCTCTCTCGCTCTTCCCTCTCGCTTTCTCTTTCTTTTTCACTCTTTCTCTCCCTCTCCCTCTCCCTCTCTCTCTCTCTCTCACTCCCTCTCTCTCATTCCCTCTCTCTCTCTCTCCCTCTCTCCCTCTCTCTCTCTTTGGTGTTTTACCAAGCTTTTTTGCGAATGAAATGCCGATGTCTCCGAAAATAAGTTTTAACTCGAACAAGTATTTACCAAGGTAATTTCCGTAGTATCGTATTGAAAATTCTGCATGGTAGAGCACATCACTACGTTATTTAATTGATCTAGTGATAGGTAATTTAATAATATTTTTGTAATTAAATTTGTGTCATTTTGAAGGGCTCGCCATAGAACCGCTCTCATTGCCTCCATTGTCAAAAAAATTTAGATAATTGATTTTCACAGACTTTTCTTGAGGCCACTTATTCACCAGCCAATTCATTCACCATAGAGAGGAACAAATGGTAATCACTTGGTGCGAGGTCCGGACAATATGGTGACTGCATAAGAATAATATTATGTAGTCAAAATGCTTCGTCCTGGGAGTGATAAACAGCTGGAATTAGGACGGATCTTTTCGCGGTCCTGCACGAGTTCTCTCAAGTTAGTATTTGGTAATATCGTTGACCTCTCTTATATGTTACTGGATGGCGATTTTAGGATTTGTGCTTCGATCGCTAGAGTTGTGTTTTGTAGCCATAGTGATTACTGGCGAGACAATTTGATAGTTAATTTCCAAAGAGAAAGCTTTCACAAGAAATGATAATTGACTAGTCAAGTAATAGAAAACTTTCCATAACTTTAAAACATCACATCCCGATCCCAAAACCACTGATTAGAGCTTTAAAGCATGAAAGTGCTTTTCTCACTTAAAAGCAAACAAATGTTAGCATAAATAATAAATACTTCAGCTCTAGATATCGCTTTGAAATATACATACATGCATACATATGACCGCAACATGCAACATCTGTTCGCTTGGGGAATAAACAAACATGCAACATGTACCGCAATCAAAGTTGAAGAGGCTGGATATCTTTGATATTTCAACGCCTTGCTATGGGAAAAGCCAAAAATTCCAACAACTTCTTCGAACACTTGCTTTCTCTTTGTTTTGCAGCTGTTCTTCGTGGAAAGCAAATTGAAAAAAAAAAATTGAATTGAGTAATTAATTGCTTAGAAAAATACTAAATTGGAAACATTTCGTAAGTACAGAGAAACAGAAAACAAGAACACTTGATTGGTGACACTTTGCGGCATGTCAGCCACTTCTCGCCACCAAATTTCAAACTTGTGAATCGAATTGTTTTTTTTTTTTTTTTGGTGTACAATAAATAATTGGGGCGTCCAACATATGTTTTCACTCACTTGAGGAGAAATGAGACAAAGAGCTTTCTTTGGAATCCCGTATTACACATACATACATACATATATAAGTGTATACAACAGTACTTAAATAAGGGGAACAATGAGAAAAAATTAAGTATAAAAAAAAATAATAATTGAAGCCTAAGCAGAGTAGCTTTGGTACATAAATGCAGTTTTTCATATGATGGTCCCAAGTCCAACTCCATTTGCTGAGAGCTGCTAATTATTACAGAATTAAATGAAGGCGTGGGGCTCTATATTGTCAGCTCCATAATTACTTTTTCTTCTTTACCAGCCTAGACACCGCTAACGCCGAGCTAACAACATTGCGCCATTCCTCTCTTCTTTTCGCAGCCTGGCACCAGTTGAAGATACCAAAATACAGCCAGATCCTTTTCTACAACGTCTTTCTACCGGGGTGGATGTCTTCCTCTTCCTCTGCTTCCACGGGCGGGTACTGCAACGGAAACTTTCAAAGCTGGAGTATTCGCATCCAACCGAACCAAATGACCTAGCATAGCACAGCCGCGTTGCTTGTCGATTCGCTGAACTATGTCAATGCCGTCATATATCGCATACAGCTCGTCCTTTCATCGGCTGCGGCTTTCCCGTTTACAACTCGTAGAGGACCATAAATTTTACGCAAAACCTTTCTCTCATAGAAGCTTTTTCTATTTAGCTCTGCAGCTTGTATTACTTTCATCAGCAATAAATTAAAGAAATCCCACGATACATCTTGTCCGAATCCTCGTTTGGTAACGAACGGCTTGGATAGGTCCTTGCAGGTCCTGACGGTGCTTTTGGTGTTGCTTAACCTCAGCTGACACAGCCCTATAAGTTTTGCGGGGATACCGAATTCGGACACAGCGGCGTAGAGACAGCGTCTTTTCGTGCTGTCGAAGGCGTCTTTAAAATCGACGAAGAGGTGGTGTATGGCGATCCTCTTTTCACGGGGTTTTTTCCAAGATTCGGCAAATGATCGATATCTGGTTGATGATTGATTTACCTGGTTCAAAGTCACTCTGATAACGTCCAATCAGTTTGATGATGGTAGGCTTTAGACTTTTAAACAAAAAGCTCGATAGGAACTTTTGCTATATATGATCTTTTACTCCATATAAAGTATGTTTATCTCACTTTGCCATTCATCGTTACAGCTATATTAAATCGCACAATCTTGGAGACTATACCACGGGCCCACGACGCCATATAATGCGCTCACTAAAAGTTTCCTTAAGTATATTCATTGATTCGTTGGCTGTATGGTATGTAGCGCCGTCTTGATGGAACCTAAGGTCGTGCACATTAACAACGTCTAATTAAATCATAAAAAAGTCATTAATGATTAATGATTATGATTCTGTAGCGCTTATCGTATACAGCGTATAGCGTTTGGGGCCCATTTACCAGACGTACGCTGCTTAAATTCTTGCATGAGTTGAATTTTGTATGCAGGCAAACCCGGATTCTTCCGAAAAATCTTCAATAAAGGGGATGGACTCATTCCGGTCTTGTTCGGTACTCTTGTGGAAAGCAGCGATAGCGTTTTTGGTGCCCACTGTAAGGCATCTATGAGCACATGCATCATTCACTAGAGTCAACGTGGTGCAAAAAAGATTCATTGTTGTTTGAATTGCTAATTCTGGTGGTCGATTGTGGCTAGTGCATATTAAGCGCAGCACGCAATTCATCGACCGAGCTAAATCATTATTTTTGTAATTAATTCCTACGATATGGAAATGCTGTTCAGGGGTTAGTCTATTCGTAATGAAATGGCAGACCAAACTGAATTAAGATCAAGCAACAGCCAACAAAAAGACTCGACTCCGAAAAAAGTATATCTTAATTGCAAATCACACGTATAAAAAACACCCTTTAATTGTTTATATGCTGATATATCCAGCTCAATGCTCAGATACCTGCTTTTGTATCTTTTCCTAAAAAATATTCTTACCATCTAAAGTTTTCTGACCAAGAAAAAACTGATGGCAAAGGTTTCACACTCACAGCTTGCTTTATTCGCTTTCGATATAAAAGGACCCAAGAATAGATTCAATGGTCAGTGTTTGAAGGATCAGTTAAAAATGTGAAAATATATCACAAAAACGACATATTTTCGATTTCATTTTACGTTTGGCATCGGGAAACCTATCGAAATTCGACAAATCCTCATCATTCACTATTTGTGGCACAAATGGCGCTGGCATTTCCTGATTAAGTATCGAAAACCAATTGATCGGCTTAAACCATTCGTGATCCTTAATATCCTTATTGCCATTAATTAAACTGCCAAAACTATAAGAAAATATTCATATTAATTTAAAAACATTTTGATGAAAACCCATTCGCCAACTTACCGCTTAGACAAATCAACTTGCAACAAATTCTCGATTAAGTTTTTCAGTTCAGGACTAAAGGTCTTGATCATTTTGTATTCACCATCGACAATTTTGCCATACATAAGCATTATGTCATTGTTGTGTGGCGCGAAGGGTGATGTGCCGTTGACCATTTCATACAGAAACACGCCATAAGACCACCAATCCACACACGAGCCATAGGGTTTCGACTGTAAAACCTCAGGCGCAAGGTATTCGGGCGTGCCACAGAGCGTCATGGTGCGTTTTTCAACGCGCTGTTTGAGTAAAAACAAAAACAAACACTTTTAATACGAAAATTAGAGCACTATTTTATTAGGTGAGAATTTGTAGGTACGACCTTTACGAAACCGAAATCCGTTAGCTTTATGTAGCCATTCTTATCGATCATAACATTTTCGGGTTTCAAATCACGATACAGCAAATGCAAATAGTGTAAGTACTCCAGAGCGAGAAATATTTGGGCTGCATAGAAACGTGCCTGTTGCTCACTGAACTTGTTTACTCTGAATTGTGGGCGAGTAGCAGAGGCCGAGTCGTAAGGAGAGAAAGAGATATGAATATTTATTTTCGTATTTTACACAGACTCAGACATTGCACACACTGTACTTGCGGTGATAGGTAAATAATTCACCACCATTTATGAACGGTAAGCCCAAGTAGAGAAAGTCATTGTCCTTTCTTGAGAATTCCAACCAAACTAGAAAGGGAAATTTTATACTGGCCAAAACACGCTTCTCAGTATGCACGTGCATCACTTGCTTCATCTTGACAATTTGGTCTTTCAGCATAATTTTCACTGCATAATACGCGGCATTTACTTTATCCTTTGCCAATATCTAGTTGATTTTGAAATAGTTGCAGACGGTGGGGAATATTTGTATTTTTTAACGCTACTCACCACTTGTCCAAATGAACCTGTGCCAAGTAAAGACTTCTCCTCGAAACCTTCCAGGCCGGTATTCGCTGATGGCTGTACATTGCCCCAGCGTCCATTGAATTCTTCGAGGAAAAGCGCAAGCACGAGATCATAGTCTACAATAGGATTGAAAATCATTCCTCGTTTATTTACGGGGACAGTGATGCTCATTTTTCGTGTTGCCTGTGATATTTCTCGAAGCAAGATTTATTATAGTTAGTTTTTGGTTTTTGTTTTAATTATTTTATTGTATTTTGAAGAATGCGTTTTCAATACTGAAAAGTAAAGAACAATAAATAATGCCAAACTTCAGACTTCGAGGCAAACTCATTTTTAAATGAGAATGTAAAATATTCCTTTCTTTTGTGGAAAAAGTGTTACCAACTTACTGCAAACGCATACTAGAGAAATTGCCTGCTCGTTACAGTCGGTCGTCAGTTTTCTTATAGAGCAACTGTAAAATAACATTAATATTAAAATGAGAAAAAATTCGCATGGCACCATTTGTAGGAAAAGCTGCTTAGAACTTTTGGCGAGTTCAAAATTATGCATCTGTTACGATTAAGAGTAAGGCTGGCCATTGGACATTATATGGGACATAACATTAACTTAGTTGAAATTTTATATTTATTTAAAATATTTCATTAAAACTTATATAATTTTATCAAATTAATTTAGTTTAACCTAATTCAATTTACATTAATTTTAATTATTTTTTTTTTAAATTTTATTTTATCATTTTATTTCTTTCACCTTATTTTATTTTATTTCATTTGCTTTTTATTTTTTTTTATTCACTTTATTTTATTTTATTTTATTTGATATTATTTTATTTGATATTATTTTATTTTATTTTATTTTATTTTATTTTATTTTATTTTATTTTATTTTATTTTATTTTATTTTATTTTATTTTATTTTATTTTATTTTATTTTATGTTATTTGAATTTATTTTATTATATTGTGATATTTTTAATTATTTTTTTACATAAATTATTTAATTTTTTTCTTTAACAATGTGCCCGAAAAATGCAGTTAACTCTCCGCAAGTACCTCGTACTTGCTTGCTTGCCAATACAGTAAATCGGGTATAAAAATTCTTAAAAAAAGAATTAAAACTCAGCGAACGTGTCACAAAAACGACATATTTTCGATTTCGGTCCGCGATGAAACTCGGGAAATTTATCAAAATTCGACAAATCTTCTGCATGCGCGATTTGTGGCACATACGGTGCAGGTGCCTCCTGATTGAGAATACCAAACCAATCGATCGGCTTGAACCAATCATGATTTTTAATATCCTTATTGCCATTTATTAAGCTGCCAAATCTAGACGGAGGCAAGAGACACAATTTAAGCTTCAGCTAAGACTGCAATAATAACCGCATTGCATACACACCGCTTAGACAAATCAACTTGCAACAAATTGTCAACCAAGTCCTTAAGTTCGGGGCTGAAACTCTGTATCATTTTGTAATCGCCTTCGCAGATCTTGCCATACATAACCATTATGTCGCGATTGAAGGGCGCAAAGGGTGAAGAGCCATTGACCATTTCGTAAATGAAAACACCGAAAGCCCACCAATCGACACACGAGCCGTAGGGTTTCGATTGTATAACTTCGGGCGCTAGGTATTCGGGCGTGCCACATAGGGTCATGGTGCGTGTATCAACTTTCTGTCATGGAGAGAGAAAGAGAAAGAGAGAGATGGAGTTTTATTAGTTAGAATAGAAAGACTAGAAACATATGAGACCTTCACAAATCCAAAATCCGTTATTTTTATATAGCCATTCTTGTCGAGCATCACATTTTCCGGTTTCAAGTCACGATAGAGCAGATGTAGAAAATGCAAGTATTCGAAAGCGAGGAACACTTGCGCGGCATAGAAACGTGCCTGTTTCTCATTAAATTTACGCATTCTATATAGACCCGGCGTGAAAAAGGGAGAGAAAAAGTTGAAGAGTTAATTTTATATATTTTGTGGACCAGTGCATGGCACACACTGTACTTGCGATGATAGGTAAATAGTTCGCCGCCATTTATGAACGGCAAGCCCAAATAGAGCAGATCGAAATCCTTGCGTGAGAACTCCAAATAAATTAGGAAAGGGAATTTAATGCAAGCCAAAACACGTTTCTCATTATGTACATGCGCAACTTGTTTCATCTTGACGATTCTTTCCTTCATCATCAGTTTTATAGCATAATAATCACCTGTGGATTTGTCCCTGGACAATGCCTGAGGGATAATTAGCTGATTATAGAGCGCGAAACCTCTTCCAGCCGCCAACACTGCGACTACTTACCACCTGTCCAAAAGAACCGGAACCGAGTATGGTCAGTTCTTCATAACCTTCGAGTCCAGTCTCCGGTGAGGGTTTTACATTGCTCCAGCGTGTATTGAATTCTTCCAAAAAGAGCGAAAGCACGCTGTCATAATCCACGACAGGATTAAATATCACCGATGCTTTATTCACATTGCTTTGATTAGTCATTTTCCTTTCGTTAAATTTTTTTTCTTTTTCACTAAAAAACTGTTTGATATTGATATTTCTGTATTTTCATAAATTTCTTGTTTTTTCTTTTGATTTTCGAAAAAAGCTTGATTGAATTCTGACAGGAATAGAAAAAAATTTTTTTTTGAGTTAAAAGTTTTGCTTTTCTTTTTGTGGGCTCATTTATATGTAAAGAAATGATGAAAAATTGAATAGCACAAAAAAGTGTTGCAGGAACGGAGTGATATGCGTAAAAACTTGTTTCCGAGCTTCTTACTTCTCACCGGAGCCCATATAGTGAGAGCGACTTATCCGCTCTATTCATGCTGATGACATTTCGGTAATCGTAAGAGTTGAGTGCCCGGCGAACATAGCCTCCCTGGCAGCTCAGACCCTGAGAACTTTAAATTGAGTTAGAGCTCGGTGTCTACACTGACAACATGAATAGTCCCATTCACAAGGAATTACAAAGTTTCGGTTTAGATCAAATGAAAGCAATGAGAGACTTCTTGGCAACACAAACTAAGCTCTATGGACTTTGGGAATTGTGATAGACATCAAGTTGTAGTGGATAAACGAGGAAAGATGGCATCACACTCCGTTATACATGTAAAAAGTAGTCACTGCCTTTCCTCGTCGTTCTCACACGAGAATTTCGTGGCAATTATTAAGACAGTAATATTTCAAAGAATTATAGTTGGGTGGAAATCTACAGAAAAATCAACCAATCTGAAATAACTGGAAAGAATCTTAAAACAATCAATGATCGGTTTCACCTGAGCGCTAAAAAAAACTATCTGCAGTGCTTCATACGATTTTGAATGAGCATTTTGCAAGCTTAGTAGTAAATCTCGCGAGGCCACACGCTTCATATCAGTTGAAAGTCATTAAATATGGGCACAATAGTATTCGTATGAGAATGCGAAAAGACGACAGTTCTCCGCGCATTCTTTTCGGGATATCTTTGAAAGCACACAAGGTTTTGTGTGTGTCTTTAAATATGGTTCTAAAATGGTGTTCAAACTGGACCTGCACTCAGGAAGGAGGGTCGATTAAAAGGAGCAAAGAGAAAAGAGAAGTCTTTCTTATATGGTACAAGACTTAACTTATTCATAAGTTACATCGAGGGCAATGTGAAAGACGGCCAAAGATACCGTCTCTCTTTAGGAATAAACAAATAGACGAGAAAAAGACCGTATCACTAATAATGTAGCTAGCAAGGTAGTAATTTTGTGGCCGGTGTTCAAAGCTTATACTCTCTTTATGGATATAACACTGTATACTAAATGGTAGGGAACAATGCATTTAAGAGCTGACAAGGTCTATACATCAGCTTTTTTTCAGAATATGATTAGACGGAATCATGCCCGTCAATCATTGACCAGATATTTACCATGCGCCAAATCTTGGAAAATACGAGGCTTATAAACTAAGGTACGGTTGTCAAGACAATATTAACCAATTTTTGTTTTATAGCTGATTGAAGGTAGCATATTATCTTAAACTTTCCTTCGTTTTTGAAAATACAAGCAAAGAGGATCTCCTCCTTGAAATTTCTCTGCCATTAAAAAATTCACTTGTATTGTGTCGTGTACATTGAAGCATTATCCGGTTTATAGATCCAGTTATCGCCAGTTATCCAGTTATCGCTATAAGTATAACCAGGAAATTTGCTCAGCGCCCTGTGCAAGAGATCTACATACATACCACCATATAAACCTCTTTGTTTCGTAGTACAATAGAATGCTGCCCATATACTCAATATAATGTACAAACCCCATGGTCTAGCTTGTTGCAGGCTTGTCCTTTCCGACACTAGTCACATCAAATATTCATTCAAGCTGTCTGGGCCGTATAAGTTAAGTTCTTCTGATCACTAGAGTCACTTTATGCGAACATTCAAAGACAGGCCTAATACTCCGTTCCATTAGGTTTTGGCTTAAGGTATTTATGTTCATGGAAAGTTTGAACAATTCCACTCCTGGTTACTAGCAGTCCCAAATGAGCTTTTATTTCTCCGATGGTTGACGAATCTTTTAATAGCAAATGTCGAGTCTGGCGTTTGCAACGCTAACACAGGCCGACACGATCAATGGAGTTTAATCCGAAAGTTTTTGATGTGCTGAATCCGAATCTGGTTACCAAACGGAAATTGTCTACTGAACTTACTGAGTTTGCCAAATGCGTCAATGTTAGGAAACTGAGTAGAATGAAATAAGATATTGGAAATAGGGACGAAAATAAGTACCAATAATTGAAATTTGAGTATTCAAGAGAGTTTTGGTGTTGCCGAGCTGAAATCCGATGACATTTTTCAAACATTCAAAATCATTAGGATTGGTCAATTAGTTTGGCTGAAACAAGCATTGAAACCATAAAGGAAAGCACAGCCTTTGGCAGAGTCAGTAAATTTAATAGACGATTTCTCAGAGACCCAAAAAATTTTTTTTAAAAATTCAAAAGGGCTTTTGAAGAGCAGAAGTGCTACTTTCAGGTAAAAAACGACCTCAAAAAAAATTTTTCTTTCTAGAAGTGGCATGACCTCAAATACGTAGTCCTGTTCCTGGTTACAAAGTTTAATCAAATCTTATCGTCCTATGTTATTAATGTTGATAGTATTTAAAGGGTGATTTTTTAGCTATTATCCTTTTGGCAACGCTGGCTGAAACAGCTGACGCACGTTTCGAGTTTTGTATCACTGCCAAACATCTTCAGTTGAAAGAGCTACCAATGCATCCAGAAAAAGTCACAGTTTGGTGCCGTTTATGGGCTGGTGGCATCATTGGACCACACTTCTTCAAATACTTTGGGAATCGTAACGTAACTGGGAATGGCGAGCCCTACCGTTAGATGATGCCCAAAATGCAAGAGCTTGACTTGTATAACATGTGGTTTCAACAAGAGGGTGCCACATGCCACACAACACGCGTAACAATGGACTTATTGAGAGGCGAGTTCGGTGAACATTTCATTTCACGTTCGGGACTGGTCAATTGGCCGCATAGATCATGCGCCTTAACGTCTTTAGACCATTTTTTTGCGAAGCTATGTTAAGTCTAATGTCTATACAGACAAGCCCGCTTCAATTGACGCATTGGAGGACAACATCGAAGCACTCATTCGTGAGATACCGGGCGAAATGTTTGAGAGAGTATGCCAAAATTGGACTAAGCGGATGGACCATTTGAGGGGCAGTCACGATCGACATTTTCATGAAATAATTTTCAAGCATTTAATTACGTGGACCGTACTATCGATTCGAACAAAGATTTCATGCATTTTTCTGACTTTTGAATGTATTTTCTTTGAAAAACTTTCTTTTAAAAAATCAGCCTTTATGTACCATTTTTGTACATGTTTAATAAAAATTATGATTTCATTTAGTGACATTTAAATCTAATGTACAAAGTCGATTATTGTACAAATTGAATTTTGAAAATATAAAAAAAGACTTTAGTAACGAAATCGATTTAACAAAAATTTGCATAACAAAATTTTGCTTTCAAAATTCTAGCTGCCGGATGTAATCATTTCTATTCGACGGGATTAGGTGCATAAATGGATAAGTATATATGTGCATATGTACAAACATACGTACATACAGTGCTGCGAAAACAATGTTGCACTTCGCCACGTATGCAGAACGTAGGAAGAATCGTAAAAATTTTTACGACGCCACAACGGTCTAAGTGCAACATCTCATACATTCTTACCTATAAACATATGTACTTGTATATATGTACATATAAATTTGTATATTCTCACATACAAAAAGAGATTTGTTTATTTGCGTGAAAATTAAAAGTGCCCACGATTTTGAAATCTTTTGGCTAATGAAAATTTCAGCTGTTTCAGCAATCCTAACCAAATGTCAGTATTAAAGTAAAAGAGTTATGCATTTAGCCAAAAATTTGCATCATAAAAAGTAGCATTGTGACATTAAGACCTGCTAATAAAATACATACAATTTGGGTAAAATGTCCAAGAGTGGTCACCACGGAATATTGATTGTAAAAATAGTTCATTTGGAAATTAAGGGATTTAATTTAGAGAGGTCACGTCGCGGGTGATTCGAAGACAATGCACCATCTTTACTTGCTTCAAAACAAGAAAAATCGCTCTCCTGAAGAGTGGTGTATACTTCGGGTAAGGCACTAGACTACGTCTGCTTGGCTGCAAAATGTGCCCTCACAGCCAGTGATAGCAACAATTTTGAGAGCTTTCTATTGAGTTATATTGATGCGGCTGCTTAATATGCAATTAGCGTAATAAGGCCTACAGGATCTCTTTGAAATCGCTGAAGGACTCCTTTCTTCACCTTCTCAAAGGTGCCTTATTATTGCCGCGATCAAAAATTTATTTTTTTAGACAGTGAAAGAATCCAGCCGAGTCTTCTGTCAATTTTGATCCGACGAAAATCATTACTTGCCATCTGAACTGCATTAAACAATGTTTTGTTGGAAGGAATTTGCATTCCACATAGGCTAAATCAATCTACGCATGCAACGGCGGATTTTCTCATTAATCCATCTCATATTGGCTTCTAGCTCACCAGTATTGTGTGTGGACTTTATAGTCGTATTGAAAAAGGGTTTCAGCTCTCGCTAGCTGGTCTAACGTGCATTACTGCATGTTGCTGGGACCGGTTCCTCAAATCACGGTTGGGTCGCACGGTTGGTTGCAATGCTCGAGCAGCTCGAAAATGTTCGAACAAAATCTGGAGCTGTAATACTGTACATATCACTTGTGCCAGCGCTTCTTCCGATTCCCAAAATATTTCTCAAACTCGATCTTCGGGTTAGTTTTTATTTGTTTCAGCCATCGGCTCTTAATTTAATTAATTTCCTCTAATTGTTCCACATTTTCAACGGAGGCTATTACATTCCGGAAATCATTTCGGCGGTTACAAGGAGCCAATTATATATATAATACCGATTATTACGTCAAAATCTCAAACCTGACAAATCGGTTATATATATGACATGAAGATCCCAGCTGGCCGGCTCGACAAATAGTCTATACTGTATAACAATGATTTTGTCTACCGAGCTTTGTTCAAATAT